GGGTGGAGCAATGCCCCATCCTGCCCCAAAATGTGGAGCTGGGGTGAGGACCCCAGCCTGGCCACCGCAATGCTGGGCACACACCGATGAGCTCAGGCAGCAAAGTGTCTGCAGATAGAATGGCAAAAATGAGTGGGTACCCCAGAATATTCCCAAGTGCCCCTTGGTGGAATGTTTTTGGGATGAAGGGTTAGGATTCGGGGAGCATGCGGGGGGTCTGGGTGCCATGGCAGCATCTCAGCATGTCCCCTCTCTCTGCAGAAGGGCATCCCGTGTCACCTGTGCCAGATGGCGGTCTCCATGGTGGGCAAGATCCTGCAGGACAACTGCACCGAGGTGGGTCATGGCCGGGGTGAGTGCAGGGCTGGCGTGGTCCCCCGCGCTGCAGGGCCAGCCCAACCCTGAGCTCTCCCTTTCTCACCTAGGAAAAACTGCGGCTCTTCTTGGAAAAGAAATGCCAGTACCTGCCCTTCCAGGACTGGGCTGTCAAGTGCAAGAAGATGGTGGACACTGGCATCCTCATCCTCGTCCAGCTGGGCAAGCAAGTGCTGGTAACTGGCAGGAGAAGTCGTCCCCCCCCTTGGATTTGCATTTCTCCATGTTTTGGCGTGTCTTGGGTGCTTGCAGGGCAAGGGAGTTTTTTGGCGCCTGGGATAAAACCTTTGTGAGATGGCTATGGGGATGGAAATGACCCAGGCATGGGGGAACCAGGCGCTGGGGCAGGTGCAGCCCCAAACCCCCACCCCTCTTTTCCCCTAGTCGGACCCGAAGATGGTGTGTGGGACCATCAAGCTGTGCCAGCCCCGCGAGAGCCCCACCGGGGCCCTGAAGTTCCAGAAGCCGCCGCCGGCCCCCATGGGCTCCCCTCAGGACTTCACTGACCTGATTACCCCCTTCATCGCCAATGTGCCCCTCCTGCTCCATCCCCAGCACCTGCCTCGCGGAGAGGCCCAGGTACCATGGCACAGGCAAGAATGCCATTGATGCTGCTCAAGGGTGAGAATCACCTAAGCATCACCTATTTCGCGATATTAGAAAAATATTAGAAGTACTGCACAGCATCTGATTAGGGCTGTCTCCAATTTGGGTGATATTGCAGGGTGCAGGGGGGGACCAGAGATATGCCAGCCAGAAAGCTGCTGCAGATTGTGACTGGCATTGGAATCCCAGCCCTGCAAATGCAGGCACTGGGGGCACTTCGTTTTATTTTTGGGGAGTACTGATCTGTCCCTGCCCGTGTTGTCCCACAGGAGAAGGAAGAGGTGTGTGGGGTCTGCCTGAAGCTGGTGGCGGCCATGCAGCTGGAGCTGGAGACCACGCCGGTCTTCGCCCAGGCGCTGGTGGCCCACGCCGAGCGCGTGTGCGAGGGCCTGGCACCCGACCTGGCACAGCGGGTAAGGATGCCGGCGTCCTCCGGTGATGTCACTGCGGCGTGGGGGCCTCTTT